CCTAATTACTACCTATTATTACTACCTAATGCGCCGTAGCTTTAAGTTAACCACAAATGGGGGTTATTAAACATATTGTTTGCGCCAATGGGTTTGCCCGATAGTGGTGGTAGTGGTAATAGGCAAGTATGAATTTCGAGTTTAATTTATATTAGAAGTACAAATTGTTAGTAAGTTTCAAAGTTATCAAAGTTATCTATCACTACCCCAAATTTAATTGCCCGTATAACCGGACTCACATATTTTTATGTTGCAGTACGAATCTTCACTCTACCAAAAATCATTTTTAGCGGCAAATTTAGACGCCTGACACGGAGGGGCGGGACATGGTCGCATTTTTTTAGCAATGACATCAGCAGAATTCTTTTTCTAATTTGTTGAATTCCAGTTTTTGCCCTTTTAATTTTAGTCGAATAATATTACGCTAAAACTGATTTTCTGTCATTCGCACATGACCGCGTGGCCTAGAGCTGTTAAATTTCACGCGATTTACAATTTTTTTTCTTTGGTTTTGGTTATTCTAGTTATTTACCAAGCGAGCGAGCAATGTTCAATAATCTTAGTAATTTAGTCAAATTTGTGTAACTTTGCTATTATTGACATTTATAAATAATTGAAGCAAAGCTTTTACAAAAATGGAATAGTCCCCATTCAAGAACGGATCGCCAACGTTTAATTCTAAATCGCTTGTCGAATGTAACATGGCGTCATTTCAATTTTGCTCGCTTGGTAGGTTAACGATTTCTTTACAACTAAAAAACAAATCGGCGAAATGAATAATGCATCAATACCAAATCGACAGCCGAGAACAAGTCAATTCAAACTAATTATTATTTAAATTACATAATAAATGAATTGCTATCAATCGATTATCCCGGACTGACATTTGTTAATTTCTCGTTTTATTTTCGCCGATTTGTTGTTTGATTTTCTCTTCTTCTAGTTTAGTTCGTTTTAGTTTATAATTTACTTATCTTCCTTGAGGCCTAAAGTATTTTACTTTTTCAAAAAAAAGTTCAGTGTGAACCATATTTGTGGTCGTATTTTTTTAAGGCCTTAATTCTTTTTCTTTTTGTCTAATTTATTTTAAGGATCGGGCTGCACATGTCGAGCTTCACTAACACGCGCTAATTTTTGGGTGTGCCTACACAAATAATCGTTTCACCATCGCACTGTGGTCATATTTCGCGAAAACATGGCAAAATTACTTTTACGTTATTTTAAAGCAACAACACAATTATATGTAGAGGAGATATACACGTAAATTAAGTATTACTTTCGATGATTACCTCTATTTTTTATTAATTGTTATGATTGGCACTAAAAATCCAAATTTGTATCCCACGTCAACTAGTTGTAATTTGTATGCAATGTATGAAAATTTGTATGCAATATTTACAATTATAGATTTGGGATTATTGCTATGATTTTATTAAATTCGACCACTGTGCATCGTTTCTTCCACTTTGTTTTTGAGGCGTTTTAAATTTCCTTGATTAACCTTTTAAAACATTACGGCAAAATAACAACAACTTGATAACCGTAATATATAACGACCTCGCCATCGGGGGCGACTTTACGTAAATTCAAATCGAGGATGTTTCGCAAGTTCTCCTCCGAATCCTTTTTTGTTTCTTGTTTTCTTTCGCTCGTGTACGCTTGATAGTCTGGCAACATATCCGCAGCAGTGGTTGCTGCTATACATCAATTAACGCGTTGCATAGCATCCGCCATTTTAACAAAAGACGATGCGTGAAGGAAACTAATTAAAAATTACTAACGAAACCAAAAGCACCTTCGTAACGAATATGAAATAGCTTCTTTGTTTTAAAGGTGAACCCAGACGTATACATGAAGTTTTGTCGGTAGGTCGTTAAAATTTTCAAGACGATAGATAACATTAAGATTAAGAACAATATAAATCTTCTTCAATTTGAAATCGCTCTACAAAAGTTTGCTAATACGGTTTGTTAAACGATGCTACACAGAGAAATATATCAGCAAAGTGTTCTTTGCTAAAATTTTTCGGAAAGTTTGTGCAGCTTTTAATAAAAGTTTTGCAAAACATCTTGCTGGTGCTGAAAAAAGAGGAAAATAAATTCAGATTTTTTATAATAGATAAGAACTTTGCCAAATTAACAAAATTTTCGCGCAGATCCATTGCGCATCGAATTAAAATTTAGTTTTGTTGTTGTTTTGTGATTTAATTTATTGTATTGCTACTATAATGTTTACTCGCATGAGTGTAGAAAAAAAACTACGCTGAAATGAAAATCTATAAGTAGTAATAAAGATACTTATTTCTATCTAATTTATAAACAAAATTTAATTATTGAAATTAATCAATGATATTAAGTGCAGGTCTTAAAGACAATGTAATGTATATGATATAAGACGATTCTCGTCGTTCCTCTATAAGACGTGTCTTAAACGCGTCTTCGAATTTATTTATTTTGGCGATTTCCGAAATCATAAAACTATTTTGCCTATTCAGTATTATCAGATATTAGCCTAATTAAAATCGCTTTGCTGCTGCAGCAAAGATTCATTTTACTAGCACAGAAAAATCTCTTTACTATTGACTATTAACATAGGGTTTTTTGTTCTTGAAATAATTTTTTGCCATTCACTAATAAATAGCTATTGGTGCAACCAGTGCAAAAATTGCATATTTGTTCAAGGAAGTATGAAGTGCTGCTAGGTATTTTTCAGAAGAAAGACTTACTCAAACCCTAACGATTCGGTTTAAAAAAAGCCTGTTCCTGTATCTCTATTCTTGAGGTTATTTGCTTGTCCATTTATATGTGGCTCCATCATAACGCCATTTTGTTAAAAATCTAAAACGGGAAGTAATCTATTACCCCAACAACTCGATCCAGTATGTTAATATTTGCGGACGTCTAAAAAAACTGCACTTATTTACATTTGTTTAAGAACCCTATAAATCAAACATGGCTCTCGTTAATGAATATTTAAACTAAATCGATCAATCTGCACACGACGCCTATTAATTTATGCGGCGTAAACATTCAGCAAATGCAAAGTGGCATCTCTCGACCAGGTACGGCACTTCAATTAGCCGCATAGGAAAGAATAAAAATTCTCCACGGCATCCACTGAGTATGCGGGCGCGAAACAATAGAGTATCTACTTGTGACATCGGATAATTAGCATTATGACACCCCACCATGTCTTATTAGCCGCTTTTCCCACGGGCGGATGAGCTATTCTCCAGAAGGTCGTTGTTGGAAACAAAGCTAATGGTATCATTCTCGATGGGTCTAATTGGTGCCGTATATTTCAACATATGTGTGTGTCGTGCTGAACTATGGTTGAAGGATTTTTAGGGCAAACATGGAGACTCCCTGGTAGCGGCCGTACCTCTCCCATTGTTATGCACTTTTAGTTTTCGTCTTGACTATGTTTAGTCGAAAAGTTGCTATTAGAACAGGATGTTAAAATTTAAAATTAGAACTATATGTTTCAATATCGTGTCTTTTTTAAAATCAAATTTTGCTCTATATTAAGCATAGCTGAATCAGGCTATTCTGACTCAAAAAATATGCCTTTAAATTTATGGCAATTTCTCATTAGGCATTCTTTATGTCAAATCAGTATAAAAAGACCAAAAATAAAAAATAAAAAAAACGAAAACTTCAGGAAGCTGAATTTAAGTAGCGAAGATTGCAGATTTTTCACATAGTAGTATATTTGAAAGGACTTCAGCTAAAACAATTAATTGCAAAAATGCAAAAATGTAAATAAGAAGAGGACTTAACTTCCTAGGTTAACTTTTAATAATTTTTAAACCCTTCTCGATTTATATGTATGATTCAAAATACATTAATTTTGGCTTTGACATTAAATGTTTTAATGTATTTATTCTTTAGCATGGTTAACGCATTTATAAATTCGTTTGTTTCTTGAAACAGTCATTTTTTTCCTTCAAGTTTTGAAAATTTTTTGTAACGCACATAACAAAATTAAAAACTAGAAAGCTATTTCTGACAGCTTTATATTTTATCTACACTAAACTAATATTAACGCACCGTTACAAAAAAATTGTTTTGTGTGTCTCACAGTGAAACAGGAAAGAATTCTCCGACACTGCTTATCCTCTCAAATCGTTCCCATTATTCAACAATTTTCTGCATTAAAAAAATATTGCGGAGACGTTTGAAGAAAAACCACTTAAAAATAGAATGTGGCCACTTTGCAAAACAGAATTTTCGGTTTACATTTGGAATTGTACGAAAGGTCGACTTAAGCCGATTAGATATAGGACATTGTTACAGATAAGTAGGTTTCAGTAGTACACACGGTAAGCACCTGGTCTAATTTTAAACTAGTTTGCTTTGGTTACTGGAGTGAAAAGACTGAATGCGGAAACCAATTTATCGAGAATATTAAGTTTGGTGGGTTAGATAAGTCTGACAAACATCCTCCCAGCCTGAGATGTGAGAAAAATAAACAGTCTTAGAATTTTACGGGGCTTTGATAGGATATAAAACACACTGAAATCAATGAGTGTAAAAAACAATTGGACATTCCTTTCGTGATGCAAAATGTAAATACTAGATATAAGGAACTCGACAAAGTAAAAAAGAAGGATTATGATAGCCTTCTAAAAAAATATAAAAAAACAGAATTATGCAGATAGATTAAAAAACAGAAACAAATGTGCCTGGTAGATAGTAAACAAAATTAAAGGAAAACATGTTTATAAAGATGTTGAAATTGAAGGTAATAAAGATAATTTAGTAAATAATTTTAACGAATTTTTAATTAAAAAGAAAAAATAGGGCTATATGTGGACCTTCTCTACTAAAATATCAATACCGTCTATATTATCAAACAAAAGAAAATCCAAATAACCATTCAAAGTTTTCCGTGACGAAAACTAGAGAATAAGTGTCAGTCAGTCGTAGTACAAGCAAATATATTTTCATTTTTTATTAACATAATTGACATTTACATGTAAACACCAAAAAAATTTTGGTAATGACTACTTAGTAAGAGTAAAGTGGTTCTTCACTTAAAAAAAAATATACCTAGCCAATTGTTACTTACTTAAAACTACTGTACGCATTCAATTTTAGTAGTTTTTTATTGACCTGATGTGTCGTAATTTGCAAAATAAAAATAGTATTGGATATAATCTATATTGCATAAAAAATTAGTATCATTATGGGTGTCTAAGTAGAAGGTGTATTGAGAACAAAGCATTATAGTTGGTTAAGAATTTTATTATAATCATAGTGATACCTTAATTTTAAAATAGATTTGTTTTAAACTTGCGATAGATTGAAGAGTAGCACGAAAAAAGGTTGAAAAATATCCTTACTTTAAAAAAAATTCAAACAGAAAATATAAATAAATGTAAAAAACATATCGGGAGCCTAAACGTTACATATTCTCTAAACCTTTCCGCTCCATTGAGCAAATTAACCAAATTCGAATACACAATCGAGAAGGTCGGCAAATCGATTTTTCTATTCCCGCACACCACCCCAAGTTAAACCGGCAAAACCGATCAATTTCACAGTACATTGATCCGCTTTATAAGCATATTTAAACCACAAATTCGAAACGGTTTTATTAAATTAAGCTCCTGGTAGTAGCAGCGGCGTACCAACATAGTTTAGGATACTATAAATATGCATATAACAAATATTGCGATTGATTCTTTTTTAATTTATAGAAGAATCAATTCTCGCCAATGTCAATAGTATAAAAGCATTAATTTTACCAACCAAAACCGTTTCTTCCTAAAAGTAGCATTGTCTTTAAATTCTTAAATAATGTGTCTTTTTACGTTCTAATGGCACCATGCATTTTTCAAGTCTTCTGGAAGGGAAATAATTATGGCATCTCCAATCTACCTGGGTGAAACGTTTGTTATTTTTGAATATTGAATATTATGCATTAAGTCCAACAGACAGTTCTTGGTTTACACTAGGTTTATGGAAACATGTGGTTCAAATTTAAGTTTGATTTAAGGGTTTAATTTAGGGAAGCATAAAATGAAAGTACAAAAATCTATTTAACTAGTAACTTTAATGTCGAAATAATTATTTGAATGGACGCGGGTATATTTCTCATAAAAATTAAGGTATTTAGCAAAACTAAATAGTATAACCTAACCTTTTTTTCAACAGTTCATTTTGTAAAAAATGAAATTAAACTTTATGTGTTAGTTGTGGGACCTGCAATCCGTCTGTAATCCATCATAGATTTGCTCGTAACCCATTTATATAAACGAGAAAAGGAGCTATTTCATTGAGATAATTTCTTTTAGGGATTGTCTATAACGTTGAGAAGAAATCGATGAATTAAAAACCGTCTCCATTGAATACCGCGGACACACGGAGTACCCTTGGTGAACGTGTTGCATGTTTTTAACCATTTTTCATTTGTTGCATGGATGCTTGCTTAAAAGTAGAACGTCATGTGGTACCTTGTATTTTATAATGGTATCTCCCGTAGTTTTTTTTAAACGGAAATTACCAACGTTGCTGTGAGCGCGTCATCGATATGTCAGTGAAGCAGATGCGGTGATTAATTTCTTGGAGAATTTTCCGTTAAAGTCGTCGAGAATTTTAAATCCAAATATATTCTGACTAACGTGTTCCATCTTCAAATCTAAACGTCTACAATATCATAATTTGAATAAGAGATAATTGTATCTCGAGAAGTACCATCGGGTAGTGATAAATCTTCACAACTTTGTTGTTATCGCGTTTCGTTATTAATAGTGAGGCCAATACAGAACATTATAGAATATATCAATAAATTTTCAACTTATAATCCTCATACCACAACTTATCTACAAGCTACCGCGTTTACCCGTTTACCTATCTAAATAGCGCGTGTGGTATGGACTGAACTGCTTGTTGAGTAATAATTTACGCAGAATAGATACATAGGATCCTTTTAAATCAATTTATCTTCAAACAGTGTATGCCCGGAATACATATTTGTCTATGATATACCCAAAATTTTGTATAGCACTTAATTTCGATGATGGGGGTCGTAAGTAGAATCTGTAGGTGTAAGTTAATGGATACTCGAAAATGAAATGAAAATTTCAATTCAGAAAAACAACGACCGCTATATTTATCAATGTAATACCTAGTCCAGTCTACTTAATACTACATTTGTAGTTAATATTTAATATTCACATCTAATGAGTGCCTTTTCTTGTCCATTTAGTGACATCTATGATAAATTGTTCCCCCAGGACACCCTTAATCACTGCATGCTTAATGTAGCGTCATATATATCTGTATCGATAAAACACATGGGAATATTGTCGTTTTATTACAACATATGTTTCTGCTTTCTTTTATTATAGAGGGGAGGGAGTGTGTCAACTGTGGCGCGACGAGCACGCCCCTTTGGCGACGGGATGGCACTGGACATTACCTGTGCAACGCTTGTGGACTGTACTATAAAATGAACGGACAAAATAGGCCTCTAATTAAACCAAAAAGAAGACTGGTAAGTCCCTTTTCCTATCCTTCGTTTTCAGCTCGTTTCATTTAAACACATTAGTAACGTATTAATTGATAAATGGGAAATGAGAAAGTCGTGCATGTTAATCGAAACACTGTCGAGCTGCGTCGTTTGATGTTAAATCGTTTCGTATTAATCGATTCCGACTACGTGGAAAGAGATTTTTGGTTCTTAATCAGCTCACGTCTTATTCGATTTCTTAATATGATTCTCGTAATTGAGAAATAAACTGATAGCAGCTGGAAAAACAATATACCCGTATAAGTATACTTAACATTGGGAATTATATTAATACATGTACTGTGCGTTCAATTTATCTTGATAACAATTTAACTGGCTGTAACTTTTTTGCTTTTAGAGATGTCAAGGTAAACAAAAAAAAGAAAATGTAGGGTTAGTGACCAAATTTTGTTCCAAGTGACGTATAAAACAAAACACTATAAATTTTCTGACATATAAGCCCACTTCATATATTTTTTTAATAGAACACCCTGTATATTATATATTTAATAGAATATCTTATTCGGATTACAATGATGTAACACACTTTATATTTTAGTTCACACGTTTTTGACAACTCGGCAAAAATAGGAAATTTTTATATGATTTCAACGGGTGCCGTGACTCACTGCAACGACAATAATTACTTACAAATTAAAGTAGAATAAAAATACTAAAAATGGCAAGACACACTAAAGTAAAAAATTCTTTAACTATTCTAAATATTGCTGTATGTATTAAAGTTAAGTCGGGGCAATTGCCTGGCCAATCCATAGTTCCGCCGAAACCCCTGGGATATTCCATGTTAAGAAAATTTTTAACTTGCACAACATTGTGAGGAGGGGCAATGTCTTGCTGCCATATAATTAGAGTTGCAAATAATGATCTCCAGTTAACTTGTGATCTATAAATATTGGACCCAAAATATGCTCATCAATGACACCACACCATATATTAATTGGGTTTTTTTGCTTCGTGTATTATTACGATTATCATACCATAAAATATTTTTCAAAAAAATTGTTATTCTCATTGCATTATATCCATTTAAAAAATTAAAAAAAAACAGCATCCTCCTTTGACATTGTTCTGTACTTATTTTTTGGGCTTTACGAAATTTCAAAGCATTATATTTATATTCTTTCAAAACTGAGTGAATTACCTATTCTTTAGTAATAGAGGAAAGTAGATGTGCTTCATAGAATCCTAATATGTTTGCCTTATTTTCTTCATTTAAAACATTATGATTCCGGTACACCTTTTAAGCATTAATTTCGTTAATATCTTTTTTGTGTGAGCTCGGTGCTCTGAATAAAGTCTAATATACTGATGACGAGCTGCGGTTGCACTTTTATTATTCAGAAATTCGCGAAAATCCATTTAACAATAATGACTTGGACAATAATTCAACTAACAACGTTGTTTACTAATATGTCAAACATAAACATATTTTTATTTGACAGTCAGGGCGCTCTTTGAAATTGTATAAAAATTTGCTATTTTTTCCGATTTGTCAAAAACGAGTGGTCTAAAATATAAAGTGTGTTACATCATTGTAATCTGAATAAGATGTTCTATTAAACACAATTAAAAAAACAGGTTTATATGTCAGAAAATTGATGGCGTTTTGTTTTATACGTCACTTGGAAAAAAACTTGGTAACTAACCCTAAATTTTGTTTTTCTGTTTATCTTGGTATCACTAAAAATAAAAAAGTTACAGGCAATTAAAATGCACGGTACAGGGTAGGAACATTCTACAGGAGAAAGAACTGTAATATGTATCTGGCTTTCAAGTTGTAAGACGATTTCTGAAAATGTACATTCTTAAAAAATTGCTTTAAATTTTGTGAAATAGAAAATACAGAAAATATAATTAAATGGTTTTTGTTTGTTATCAAAAGAAAACTCTGTTTTTCTTATTAATAAACCTCCAAAATATTTATCGCCTTACCTAATTAACTAAATATACTCATTGAAAAACTCATAATGTCAACACTAAACATCTAGCTTATCTGTAACAAATCATAAAATCATAACTAAATTATTCCTGATAACTTCATTTTCTTGGGCATTTTCTTCAGCTCTTATCCCAAAATAATTCAAATACATTAGAGCATCTAGGCAAGCCATTCACCTGTGTATTTTTAGAATTCTAATATCGTAAAAAGAATCACTGCAAAATAATGTTTTGTGTCCAAATACTTTTTATTTTAAAGCTTCCCCCACCATAACGTCAAAGCAATGAAACGTAGAAACGTTGGAACAGAAAAAAGCTTCTTCCTTTTGCATGGCACCTTCCCAAAAATGTTCATCAATTTTAATATTTTCTTTCAATTTTGTTAACATTTAACCGATTAAGACCCCAGATTATAAAAGTAATCTTCTGAAGACTTTTTGGAACTTCTTTTGTAACTAGCCTTAGCCTAGCACAAAGCTGTCCTTCCAACTGTCTACTGACATCGAAAATCTTTGGATTGTGTTTTTGCCTTCCGTGTACAACTAGCGAAAAGTACGTTCGGTCATTATTGTGACAAATGATAGCGACCCATCTAATGGACCCCCTCGAACCCTTCGCTATTTTCGCGCCCACGTAGAACGTGAACGTAATGTAAATCGAGACAGGTGTCCCTTATAATGCAAATAATTTCAGTCGAAACTACTTATTACACATGTTTAAATATGAAGGGCCCCAAGTAGCACCTTTCATTTGACGAATTATTGATGATGGGCAGCGTTTCGGACCCCATCGGCGCTTAAAATCGGCGTAAATCTGCCCGGGTTGCCGATTTATCGGCCTTCGATAATAATTTAAGTTCAAATAACCGTGGAAGGCGGTCGACACCTCCATAACGACTGTTATTACCTTGCTGCTACACTTTACCGAAATTATCTATTTACCCCTCGTCAATTTATAACTAATTGTGACAGCTCGAGCTGCCAACAAAAACCATAAATTTCGTGGTCCTTACAGGCCCGTTAGGCAAGATGCAGCCTCCGCGGTTCTTTGACCGGTTTCGTAAATTAGCTAATTTTTCTCTGAACGCCTTTGTGGAGAGGGCAATTCGGGCTCGCCAAAGCGCGTTAATTACGATAATAACATTTTCCATTGAAAATTCCTTACGACGATATCACGCATAACAAAACCAATAACAAATTGAGGCACATAGAATTCTACAATATCCTCAGTCGCATTTATCGATTAAACCAAATACAAGTTGCAGTTTCAAAATGTCTGTATTTGACCGAGTTAGAAACTGACTATTTTATAGCGTTATGGACACTCTGTCTATCTACTAAAGTACCTTTTACAACCTTTTATACAAATGAGAGAAAAGTATATCCTACTGATTAATTTTTAGTACCTATATCATTCTCCACAAAATTCTAGAAGATAATACCAAACAATACAATCACAACATCTGACATAACGTCAGTTACTACGAATGATATTAAACATAAATTCCATAAAACCAGTTTGAAATGATTAATTTATCTACTAAGCAACGGTTTGATTATTTTATATTACAAGCAACACATTATTTAAATGTAATATAGCTTATATAATGTTCAGTTAATTTTTAAAGTGGTCAAGTATAAACAGTTACATATGCAGACACAAAAAATACAATATAGAAAATTATCTTTTCCGTTTTCCTTTTGCCTGCATCTCATACAGAACATCTTATTGAATCTCTAAATCCTTTCACAAAACTTTTCAAAAGAAATGTTTCATTTAATATTTTAAACTTTAAACTTAATGTCAATTTGATAATTGAGTTGCGGGAAATGAACTTGAACCAGTTTAACCTTTTGTTTCTCTCCTTAATTTTATTTATTAATATTATCAGCATCCTGACTGGACACTGCCATCAAAGAAGCAAGTCATGGGGTGGGCGACGAAAGCACATTTATAACTGTGTTTAGAAAAGGATTAAACTCAATTCATTGAATCTTCGGAACTATCTACACTAACCAAACTTCCCATGAAAAAGGTACTTCCTCGAGGGTGAAGTGGTGCGGGCATACTAAAAAATCCGAATGTAGCATATTGTAGTAACAAACGTACTACTTACGTTGGATGAAAAACAAAAAAAATCCAAAAAGTAATGTTAAAATATGGTCCTTTTGAGTAATTAATTTGAATGCTTAATTGAGGAGTGTTAAATAAGAAAACGGAAAACTTGTCGCATGCACAGCTGCCAGATCTTTTTTATTGAACAAAAAATGGTTTAGGGCTACACTACTCACCACAATACTCAGCGCATAATTAACCACTACTAAAAAGCAAATGAAGTTATAATGGAAGAGACAGCCTGCTTATTTCGATAGACCATATAATTTCGTAGTCACGCCAAACAAATTACTCAAAGTTGCATTTGAAAATCTGATTATTCCTATTACTATGTTGTTCATCAATTCGAGGATATAACCATAACCACGACCACTGGATCCAAATTAAGCCCTTACTTTGGCAGTTTTAGATTTTGGTGCAGCGTTGGTTTGTATCGAAATATTAAAAGCCTAAAATTCAGAATAGTAGCTGGGGGCAATGTGTCTGTTTCTGGTGATGTCTGCGATGAATCGATAATGGCGACATTGATTTTCCTTAAATGTAGGTAGTATGTGTACAGGCGCCTCTATAAATGTTTTTACAGAGTGGCCAAAACTAATATTTGAAGTGAGAACATATTCGTTTAAACGGCAATTCTCAACAATTGGAATAATTTTAACTTTTTAAAGGTTGTTCGTAATATTATTTGAGTTTAAATTTCATTTTGTGCTTGTGCATATTAATTTGTCCTTTGGTCGAAATTGATTTTTGCATTTTCTGTAAAATTCGCATCTGCTATTGCAAACAAAATTATTATATTTATTATTCAGTGTGTGGAATGAACGTAATAATAAAATTATATAGTTTTGACCACTCTATATCCGACACACAAACGTAGACAACCCATTTCGGAGAAAGTCGATGCCTGTGTT